AATAAGGCACAGAAGAATCCTGGTTGCAAAGATGACTTCAAATATTAAGTAATGTGAAAACTCTTCACCTAGCGCGGCATATTTCCAAATAAAGTAAATATTATAAAGCAAGACCAATAACAAGGTGACAACGATTGCTAATATCTGCCAGCAAAAGTATCCATTAAGTGTTTCAGCTTGGCTAGTTAGTCTGTTATAAAGTTTGTAGCAGGTCCAGGCAACGTCCAGTTGAAATTCCTTCTCTTGAGGTTTATTTTCGGTCAAAGTATTCAAGTATTTGTTTAGAAGTGTTATGTGGTTTCGTAGAACGTAATGGTATGTAACCCACTGAATTGCAAGGACAGTTACAACTTCTGCAGTCAAGACGTATAAGAAAACGTACCCATATTTAATTGTATTCCAAACTGTGACTCCTGAAATAAAATTTGAATAATAAGTTTTTACTTAGTTACGATAATATTTTTTTTAAATATAAGTCAGTATCTTACAAGAGTAACTGGCGAGTAACTCGTACAAAGATCAGCCAAATAAAACACTAATTCATCATAATACACCAAAATAATTTACTTTTAAACACTGGATGCGCATTTCTCTAACCATGTTAGCACCATCAGCAGATTTTTAAAAGTTTTCTGAGTTAAAAACAATATAGAGTTCATTAGATAATTAAAAATATAACATTATATGATGGTGAAGTTTTGGTCTCCTTTGATGTATCTTCGTTGTTCGCAAGTGTTCCAATTCCACATACTTTAGGCTACTGGAAAGAACTACCGAACGCAAATAGTCTCAAAATTGTTTTTAATTTAATGTCATCTTTTGTTCAAACAGGAGGAAAGGTACGACAATGGTAATACATTGTCCAGTTTGAGTAGGTATATGGATGATATATATTTGCCATTTTTGACAAACATTCTGACGAGATAGAGAACTTTATTTGTAATTTAAATAATCGTTTTACTTCCATTAAATTTACCTATGAAACTGAGAAAAAACGATAGATTACCATTTCCAGATGTATTAGTTATAAGTAATGATTACCTGGAATTTGATATCTATAGAAAACAGATCACTACAGGCAGTAATTTCTAATGGGTCTTATCATTGTTCAGTTTTAATCATCTACTGATGATGCTACTATGATACTGATAGAGACATTGTTGTAAAACCAATTCTTCTAACCAATTGAGTAAAATATATTTTATACATAATTTCTAATTGATAAGAACGGCAGCAAAGAAAACATCAGAGACTATCGATACAATAAGCCTACTACCAGTGACATACAAGATATTCACAAAAATAATAAACAACGGAACACAAAACACGATAGACGCTGCACGTGCATGAGAACAAGCAGGCTTTAGAAGCGGCTTCAGCACGATTGATCACATACACTAAGAGAAACTATCAGCCGAACAAAAGAATACGCCATACCGCCTTTATAGACTTTGGGAAGGCTTTTGACTCAATATAATATACTAAGGCAATAATAGAAGCCCTAGCGAAACAAGGTATTGAGAGGCCTTATATAGAAACTCTCGCCAATATATACAAAGAAACCAAAGCAAGAGTTATGATATATCAAACAACGCCAGAGTTTCCAACTGGCAAAGAAGGACAACAAGATAGCCCAAAAGCTGTTTACAGCGACATTAGAAGAAATCAACTGGACTGGACCAACAAAGGATTAAAAATAGATGGAGAATATCTTAACCATCTAAGACTAGCTGATGACACAGTTCTAATTGCCAAAGCCCTAAAGAACTACAGGCATAAATTAATGAACTAAATACAGCCAGCAATAAAGTGGGTTTTAAAATAATTTAGCAAAAACTAAAGTAATTTTATTATTAAAGTTTTTTTATTAAAAGTACAACGAAGTAGTGGAAGGAATAGACATTCTATTAAATAACACAACACTGAAAATAGTAGAAGAATATATATATTTGGGACAACTAATACACAGCTCGGGATCTCTACTACCAGAAATCAACAGAAGAATTAAGTTAGCATGGAGTACTCATGGAAGAAACTCAATATCATATTCAAATCCAGAATGCCACTCTACCTAAAGAAGAAAACAATCGACCAATGTGTACTACCAGTCCTGACCTATGCATGCGAAACCTTGGACACTTAAAGCGGGTATCATAAAGAAACTGCAGGTCGCACATCGCTCAGTGGAATGAAATATGCTGAAAATAACCAAGAGAGACCTAAAAGAATAGAGTGGATATGACAAAAGTCCCAGGAAATTGATGTCATCCACAGAGTCAAATTCCTCAAATGACAATAGGCAGGACACCTGTCAAGAGGAATGGACAAAAGATGGACCACAATAATTACAACATGATACCCACGAGGAATAAAGACACTTAGAAGAAGACCGAACCTGAGATGGGACCATGATATTAGGAAATTAGCAGGGATAACTTGGGCCCGCATAGCTAATAATAGACAATAATGGGCCCAACTGCAAAGAGAGTATCTGAAGGAGGCTACACCATAATTGGAAATGGTTGAATAAGCTGAAATTGAAAATGATGATAATGAAGTACATCATATTACACACAATTTTTGAAAAACTTTATTTACCACGCACTTGATTTTTTGTGATATAAAATTTTAATAAAAACATAAAAAACTGATCGCTTTTACTTACTCTGATCAAATAAAAGAGCAAGTCCATACAGAATACTCTCAATTATAGATTCAGTTACCAGCCATTTCGAAAACTTGTTCAAAAATTGATAATCGATTTTTTCATTCAATAGTTGTTCGAACGTTTTATCCAAATACTGACTGTTTTTAAGAAAACAAATAATGTCATATTTCCTGAAATGGGTTTGCAGTATTATGATAAAATATATAAAAAACATGTAAAAGAAATAAAAAGTACGCAAAACATTCACAACATCGCCATAGACTAGGTAATCTTGTTTGTAATAAATATAAACAAATACTCGAAAGGCTGTTTCAAACACCAAAATGGCAGCTATACGCAACAGAAAACTGGCATTGGCTAACTTGGGATAGAATTTATCCAGCTTCACTTCAAAAGGTTTCATACAATAAAACTCGGAGTAGATCGCTACTAATTTTATCGCCTCCGTTAGATTCATAATTAAAAGTAGAGCTTAAATGTGTTTTAAAGAAATACCCACTGCTTTAAAGAATCTATACAATAACGTTCACAGAAATTGATTCTATGGTCCAGTAGATAAAATTAATTAAAATATCTTGAATGTTTAATGAAGCGACGTCAATTTGTCAACAGGCATTACTATTGAATGTACAAAGTGATTTGTAGTTCTGATATAATCAGTGTAGCCATTAAAATTATAAGAAATATGTATTTGAATAATCAATTAGAACATTTTCTTCTTTATTTATCTAGATCTAGGTCTAAAAATAATGTCTATAACTTTGTAGTGGGATATTAGTGGATTATAATCCAAACTGAAATTTAGCTTCTCATTGGTTCTTTATATCAGTAAGAAATTTGCCTAAACAACAAAGAACACACTCAACGTTCAGGTGATACACAAGATAAATCTTAAATAAGTGCAATTATTTTAGGGTAGTATATTTCGACTCCAGAAACACGTCTATGAGGTTTTTTCGTGCAAAAAAAAGAAAATTTGGAATGTTTTTTTTTAATTTTTTTGGTAAAACCCATCATCAACATCATCATTTTCAGCTTATTCAATCATTTCTAATGATGGTATAGCCTCCCTCATATATATAGATAATATCTTTGTTGTTGGGCTCATTGTTGGCTAGAGGACTCAAGTTATGGTCCTATCTCAGGTTTGGTCTTCTTCCAGGTCTCTTAATTCCCTCTTCAATTAATACATGGTGGGTAGTACTGATGGGCATTATGATTCTTTTTAGTGAATCGAATCACACGATTCAATTTCTCATATTGAATCGACTCCTAAGATTCGTTCATTTGTCTTTTTCAACGAATCACATGCACAATTTACGTTTCATAAAAACAAGAATAGTAACTAGCACTACCGGCGATAATTTGGTCGGACAATTGCTTAAAGGACCAGAAAAAGAAATATAAAGTTCTTTCATTTGTTTTTCAACAGTTTACGACACTGGCGTAATTGGATTGATTATTTTACCAATAATAATTAAATTATCAATCCCATTCATAATATATACTATTTATTAAAGACTTCTTAATGCCAATTTAATATTAAAGAGCGATATTATTTTACTTACGATTTAGTAATCATAATAAATAGTATATAATACACCGCATGATCGAAACCGCATGATCGAAAAAAAATTGCATACAGTTGGCTTGAAAATGAACATCGATGATATTCCCCATATAATTTTACATATAAAATGATAGCGGTCTTCATTTTATAACCACCACTGACGCTTTTTTTTTATCATATGCAGCAAAGGCCATCAATATTTATTTAAAGTTGCAGAAAAAACACGATTTCGTCTTTTGGTCCGACATTTAATGATTTATAGTCGGTAATATTATTTTAACAAAAATATTAACGTGAAAATTAAATACCTTACAGATACTACCTACTAAGCACAGTATAAATAAGTTTTTTTCTTGTAAATAACTTTCTTAACGTTTGCATTTTATGCCCATGATGTTTGTTTAGGGCTTTTGTTTAAGTCTAAATATGGGTGCCTGACTCTATGCCTACATCATCGCCGCGCCGCACACTGGTCGAAATCGCTACTTTACAGTGCAAATATTAGGAAACCCTAAAGATGCGTAGTTGGCTGTGACCTATGAAATGCGAAAAAGGAAGGTCTAAATATGGCGCAGGTGACATATTTTTTTGCGAAATAGCTGTCTTTGTTGTATTTTATTAATTAGATAACAGGTAGTAATTGTATGAAGTCATACACAAAAAATTGAAATAATATTTAATCATTAATATTGACTGCAATCTAGTAACGTCTGCAAACGTGAATTAACGTGTTTGTGATTTATGTTGTTTTGCTGCGAATTTGTAATAGTTAGGACCAAATTTTGGTGAGCAAATAATTTTTTGTCTATTATTTTTTCAACAAAACTAAACTGGTGATTAAAACAATAATTATATTTCTTTTCTTCAGGTTTCGCAAAGGTAAACCATACCTTGTCCGGTCGTGTTCGATACAATTTTTTTTTCAAGATTTAGAAGGCTTTTTGGTAAGACATCTTCTTATATAATTAACTGCTACTAGGTGCACGGTTCGGAGTAACACACATTTATCTAATAGATATGTCGTTGACAAGAAGGGAGCTTTATGAAGTTTGGCGACGGAAAAGTGGTCTTAAATAAAAAAATTCGGCGGTCCTTTCATATGCTATTCGCCGACTTGGTATACCCGAAGACAAAGAGACAACAACCAAATCAAAAGTATCTTGTAGTGAAGCGCACAGCAAATAGTTTCACTAGGAAACTGCAATAAAAGTGGGAAAGAGTCTTATATAATTCTAAGTCGATTCGAAACAAATAATTCAGATTGGTTAAATGACAACATAGTTTTTGATCCAGATGAACAAACCAAATTTTGTTAATCTAGTATTCTCTTTCTGTTATCTCTAGGTTTTTTCAATAATTATATGTGCAAGAGAAAAACTTATTAATTCTTAACCCTTGTGTCTCACTTCCCTGGAAGCGTGGGGGTATATGTTATCGTTAAAATCTTAATTGGGAATGGGGACAAGAAGCACATCATTTTAAAAATCTGATCGAGTACTTTAGCCTTCCAGATTATGTTCCTAGTTGCCTGTCATGTCATTTACCCACCATTTACCACCATTTTTTTGACGATAATAGGAAGTACGATTTTAGAATTGTAAAGTACTCGATGAGACCTTCAAAATGATGTGCATCTTGCACCTCTTTTCATTTAATATTCTCAGGGTAACATTCACCCCTCCTAAGGGGTTGAAACATGAAGGCTAACATTTTTATTTGTATTTTTAGATTTATCTTGTCATTTTATGGTATATTCAATATAAACTAGGTTAAAATTTTCGTCTTACTAATATCGAACATTTTTTGCATCGTAAAGTAGCGATTGCGACCAGTGTGCGCCGTAGAAGCGAACGATCGCGTAGTGATCCGATTCAATTCTCACAATTCTTTTTACGGCTCAATGTTATAGATCCGTGCTGGCCACGATTCAGTTGAAGGAACCGTATTGCAAGCAATGAATCGAATCTCACGATTCATTGTTTATACTCGTTCAAATAAACGACTCGTTCAATCTTTGCCCACCTCTAGTGGGTACCATACTGTAATGTTTGTGGTTCATCTGTTGTCCGTCCTTCTTGCCAGATGTCCTGCCCATTGTCACTTAAGGGACTCTGTGGATGACATCTATTACCTGGGATCATCCAATATGCTTATCTATTTAACTTAAAACATCTTTATATATTTTTATTTATTTATTGAAAACAAATGTGTAAACGACTAAAATATCAACAAAAATAAAAAAACCTCATTATTATAAATAAAAAATGTAACTTTCTATTTCTCCCAAATTAACTTTTGAGTAAACAACCAATGTAAACTAAACAAAAAAAGCTTTCCGAATTAACGGGGGAAGTTTTAATATCATTGCCAATCACAATAGCCTATCCCTTGATTTTTATTTGCCCCTCTTATTCGGCAAATCGGCCGTAATTACCTGCCCCGGGGCGCAACCAGCCTCCCCTACGCCGATCGTTCTCTTCATCTCCAATCTCCCCTACGCAATACAGGACCGGATTATCTCAACAGACTCGAAAACGGTGGCAATTGATAAAATCAAATGAATTTAATAACGCGTAAGCAATTAATTTGGATTAAATTATCCTTTTTTCTTTTTTATTCATCCAATCTTTAAATTACTCTATCCAATCTTTTAAAATTATTTAACAGGTAACAGAATATTATTTTTAGTGAATTCCCTAATATCGTATTAATATGTACTATCGTATTAATATGTAATAATAGTACTGATAATAGTAATATATAATACCTGGTACCATAACCATCTGATGCGTCTCCAATACTCGTCAGCAAGTGTTGGCAATAGTACTGGTAATGAAGGTGGTAGTGGTAGGAAGTATATAGCGCAAAACGACCGGTCTAATGTGAGGGGCGGCACGCCAGCAACTAAAATATTTAAAAAAAATTGTTCGTGGTATTTTACTTATAACTGAAAAGCTATCAACTTTTTGTAAATAACCCTTCTTTCTATAATTCTTGTTTTTATAAATTTTCTCTAAACCAACTGTTTTGGGTCAAGAGCTAGCAAAATTGACAGTTTTAGACTGCTTGTTGCTCAAAATTGCACTTTGTCTACTACCCACACCCTTTATTTGTTAATGGCTGATCTGCCCTAAAATTATATGAGACAAATATTCATTCGCAAGAAGCTAAATAGGATCCCGATATGCTTATTATCAAAAAAAGCTTGTAAGTTTGCCTCATTAATTTATTAACAGTAGTGGGAAAAATGTCAATCTTTTGGTGATTTTGATTGTTCTGGATTGAATATGTAGTAATACATGGTAAATGGTAGCAGAATCGTAGAAATTTCTCATTAAAGCAAGACAAATGAATGCATCTCAAATCTCAAACACTGGCTGATCCTTATTTTGAAGTCGACAAAACTATCTGATCATACATATACTGATTCTGCACGAAATAATTGATTGTGAAAAAGAAAAGAAATTTTTCTTAAATTCTTATAGAAAAATAATGCCAATTGCTTGCAACTAAATAGTAATGTTTTCAAAGATCACTTATACTTATCATTTATATACCGGGTGCGTCTCAAAACTGGCTCACTCCTATTTTTTCAGATGAAAAAACGAGATTTGGTATGTCAGTATACGACATAAATTAGGATTAATTGACGTATTCAGTTGTTTTTGATCATTTCCTCTTTCCCCGGAAATTAATAAAACTTTTGATTTTTAAATGTCAACCTCGGTATATTTCTACTTTATGCGATAGAAAATGGCAATCTGAATAGAATGACCATATTAGTCTATTCAGAATAATGTGTCAACTTTTGACATTTTCGCATATGGATTATTTGAAATTGTAACATACGGTTCATAACGACAATTTGACTCGAAATATCAAGAGTGTGGTACAAAATTATTCGTAAAAAATTCTTTTTCCAAATATGCAAATGAGCCACTTGTTCCATTTGAAAAAATTGGCATATGATTAAAAATACGATACGACACGAAAAACATTAGACAATCAAATCTATTTTTCCAAGGCTCCTTGTTTAAAAATTAGTGTTTTTAACACAGCCATGGCACTCTAGATTGAAATTTAAAATACGAATTTTTCAGCAAAAATATCAAAAGTTGACATATTCTACTCAGAGTGTCATTTTCTATCGAATAAACCAGAAATATACCGACAATGCCATTTAAATATCAATAGATTTTCGTTGAAACAGGAAGTGACCAAAGACAATTAAATACATCAATCAATCCTAATTTATGTCATATACTAACATACCAAATTCCGGTTTTTATCTAAAAAAATTAAATTTTCAAGATGCACCCGGTATAGAAAAATCAACCGCGGACTAAGATTGAACGAGAAGAATTTTGAAGTACCTTTAAGTGAAATTTTATTGTTAAAGTAGCATAAATATGCTTAATTGTTATGGGAGCATGTTAACTATTGGGGGGGGAGGGGCGCCAGGTAAGGTATTTGCCCGGTCTCAATATTTCCCTTCCGCCGGCCCTGCAAACAAGACGTTGGTATCGGGAACTTCGAGGCAGGAATATCATGTATTATCACTTCGTCGATTCATAGGTACATCAGATGTAATTGGCGATATGACATTAGGACAATAGTCACAAAAGACCCTTGTCATATTAAAAAATATCATAAAAATGTAACGATAATTGAATAAGTTGCAAATTGTTGGTGGCAAGATCATTTCGATCTTAAAAATTAATCAAGGCATGTGTTGATCTGAGTCTGAGTGAATGAAAAAAACAAAATGCTCAGGAATCATGGTTATGACCAAAAAATAATGTTTCAGGAAAATTTACTCACGAAATTATTGCATAGGGTGTTTTAAAGTTAAGGTAAAAAACAACCTTTTGATTAACACTATATGACAAGGCAAATACTAAAGTTTATAATAAACTGAGTTTACGAATTAAAATTGATATTTTTATTAGAGTTTGTTTAAAAATCATAAAAATAGGTCTAAAAATAAAACAAACATAACACTTCAGATTTGACGAAAAATTTTTCAGTGGCGTTTTTTGCATCTGAGTGTATTTTCCAGCTAGTCCATTTTTCGTGTGGTCCGGTCCTGTCAAGGCAGCTTCATATCCCCAGTCCTGTCTCTCTTTCTAATGCAAAACATTATCATTCCGACTGTGCCAATCTTTTCCGAGGACCTCTGAAATGTCGATCCTCCAGGGGAATATAAAAATGATCTGGTGTCGAAAAGGCGAAAAGAAAATAAAATCGGGTCATGAGGACGAGTCGTCGTAGGTGGTAAATTCGGCCGTATTTCCTTGGTCGTATTTTTGTGGACGTTCCGTCTTTTACCGCTTCGGTATACTATTAGGATCAATCCCTTCATTGTGTCGTCCTTAATTTTATTAGTCCAGAGAGAATATAGGTATCATTACAGGCAATACGACGTAAAATCTCGGAATACTATAGAAAAAAGGGTCACACAGCAGCAGTTCAAGCTAAAAGACTGTTCAGCCATTGCTCAACGTTACGTCATCATTATATGTCAAATATGAGATTTAGATCAGTTTATATTGTTTAGAAAATTTTAAGTAGGGTAAAGTAAGGTATGTTGGTGGTATAGGTAAATTGGTGATAGTTCTTTAATCATTTTTCAGCAACTCGCCTATTCAGTGGGAGGCCTTAAAACATGTCGGCTAAGCCTATCTAATATCCCCTACATGCTGCATAGTCTGCGGCGCGGTTCGGTTTTTTTGTTTACGTTTAGGAAAACGTTTGCTTCGTGCCGGTAAATAAAGTTATTCGATTTGATCATTTTTGTGATATAAATTGGTTTTATTTGTAGTCTTTGCGAATTATTGAAAGGTAAGAGTGTATTCCTGTGTTATCCCATAGGGAATATGCTACTTTTTAATGTGGTACAATAATAATGAGCTTAAAATATTGTTTGCTCTTGTTAGGGCTTAAGTTATTCGGCCATTTACTTAGCAATTTTGCATGCAAAACGTGAATGTTAGGACACAGACTTTTAAATAAAATTATGATTGCACTTTTTAGAAGACTTTTTAAGGATGTTAGTGTTTTAGTCAGTTACTAAAAATGATGATGTTGTTCCCTCTGATCCCCTTTTGGAGAAATCCAGCGTCGACAATTTGTTTTTACTGCCTTCTGCAAGTTTAGCCAGCAAAGCAACACGACGGACTAAAACCAGAGACTCCAGTGCAAAATGGCTAACTTATAC